GGGTTAGAATAATTTTTCTCTTTTTCTAAAAGCATGCATATTTGCCCTACAGACGAAAGCTTAGCAAAGGTTTATTCAAGTGGGATAATGGAGAGTCGATGACTTCTTCATAAAATCCGCCGATCTTAAATCCGCTGCAAACCTCCTTCAGATTCAGCGAGATCACTTCCCGGATTTCTATCAAACAACGTTTAATTCGAAGTGGAAATTGACGAAACCAAGAGTCTCATTCGGTTTCGATTGAGAGCATTTCACAAAATCCATCCAAAATATTTTCCTTAGAATTAAAATTTCACCTCACAATAATCCTCATTCTGTTTCCAGTGAGGCCATTTCCCGAATTGTTACTAACTAAATTTTCAGTTGAAATAGAATTTCATATCAAAATACTGCTCACTCCGTCTCTAGTAAGACCATTTAACGAATTCTTTCAAAACTAATAGTCAACTCAAATGGAATATCATATAAAATAATCCTCAATCGGTATCCAGTGAGATCATTTCACGAATGCCCTCGAACCTAAGTTCCTTTGGAGTGAAATTTCATGTCACAATATTCCTCCTTCAAGCTCCACTGTGACCATTTAGCATATTCTTTCTAAACGACTTTCACATTAAAATGGAACTTCATGCCAAAATAATCCTCCTTCTGTATCCAGTGTGACCGCTATACCAATTCCTTCTAAGCTTCTTTTCCTTCGGAATGGTATGTCATGTAAAAGTAATTCCCCTTCGGTTTGCAGTGAGACCCATTTCAGAATTGCTTCTAACCAACATTTCATTTGAATTGGAATTTCGTGTCATAATAATCCCCATTCCGTTTCCATTTAGACCATTTTACGAATTTGAAATGGAATTTCTTGTAGCATTACTCCTCTTTCGGTTCTCAGGAGATCGTTCCACGAAGTCCTTCTAACTAGCTTTTCCTTTGTAATTGAATTTCATGTCACAATATTCCTTCTCCTCTACCAAGTGAGTCCATTTCACGAATTCATTTTAACCAACTTTCCCTTTGAAATGGAATGTCATTGCCCCTAAGGCATACACCATCGTCTGGCCCTTTCATACCATCTCAGCATGTGTTCCTTATTTCATTTCTTTCTATCGCGTTTAGTATTTATTTGTTTTGCTCTTGTTCTACGTTTATTTACTGGTTACGGTTCTGTGCATACTCCCATTATTTAGCAGTGGGTTGACCTCGTTGTCGCAACTTGGTCTTGTTGTCAAGGCGACTATGTAGAACGCACCTAACCGAAGTCGTCTGCCATAGTAGTTGTCATGATTTCCAGCATCTGACAGTGGACTTGATACATTCTCAAACATTTCGCCGGCATCGTAGTCGGCATCCTCATTGAGCTTTACCATTCACCGCACCAAGCTACGAACTCGTCAAAGAGACAAGACGACGAGTTCGTATCTTGGTGCGTAA